AAGAACTTAAAGTTAGTGAACAATAGTATGCAACAAATTGCCTAAATTCAAGGTACGGTGCTGATTTAACTTTTACATTAAGTGCATTTAATTAGTTTAATCAAACATAATTAACACGCAATCAATAATTGTAAATTTTAATATGTAGTTTGCTAATTAACTTTTACATTAAGTGCATTTAATTAGTTTAATCAAACATAATTAACACGTAATCAATAATTGTAAATTTTAATATGTAGTTTGCTAATTAACTTTTACATTAAGTGCATTTAATTAGTTTAATCAAACATAATTAACACGTAATCAATAATTGTAAATTTTAATATGTAGTTTGCTAATTAACTATTTTAAATTATTTGATTGTGTTTAATTATATATATAATATAAATCATTAGAGTTAGTATAATGATTAGGTGTGGAAGATTGAAATAAAAGATTTTTGACTGAATAATTAATTAGGAATATTTTTATTTTAATTTATCATCTGCAACAAATTAAAATATTTTATTAGATATTCAATCAAATAATCTTAAAATAGATTATACTCAAAATTAATCTCAAAACAGAAATGTAGACTGCAAGTTTACAACAAATTGTGCAATTTAATGGTAACATGGTTATTTAATTTTGATGTAATTAAGATATTTAAATAAAATTAATTTTTATTAATTATAATTGCCTAATGATCCACAATTTATTTTTCATTAATTGTTAACTCTTGCTATATTTTATTTTTCTTCTCCATTCTCATTAATTTACTTATTTTTTTTATCCTTTTTAATTAAGAGTCAAGGCTATAATAATTTACAAATACTCTCACTCTTTAATCTACCAATGTATTTTTTTAAGGACAAAATCGTGACGATCTAATGAGTGTTAAAATGAATAATATTTCGAATGCGATAATTCTAATGATGACAACAAACTTATGGTCCTAGGCCATTCTTAACCCATAACATCGATTGAGGGGCTTGTTCTGATATGTCTAAAAAGTCGCACATTACTTAGAAATCGAGGTTAAGAGTAATTTATAACATTTTATCCTTAATTCACTGATGCGTCTTTTCAAGGACAAAACGATGACAATAAACTTATAATCGAAACAAAATATATTATAAAATGGTTTTACATTATAAACTACAGTAATTACAAGTTGTAATATGCATGACTTTTAGTTTTTGTAAAAATAAAAGAATTTCTTAAACATAATAATTTTCGATTGAATGACGATATTGTATAAACTATTTTTCATAATTAATTTTTAATATATTCCCATGCATTACTATTTTGTGATAATCTTAATATATATTCCTACGCATTCCACAAATTACTATACCAATCACTTACAATAGCAAAACATATTCGATGGATGAAAAATGAATCCAAAGTTGGTATTGATAGTCCAAGTAAAAGGGAGATGAGGTGACTATTGATGCATATTTTTTTATACCTTTGGTTGATAGCATAATAGTTGCATCTGATTGCCATCTTTTAATCGGTGTGTCAAAATGAGTGAAGCATAACACCCTCTTCAAGCGCTATGTGTGTCGGTGATCTACTCGTACATTTTTGAAAATGAAAGGAAACTAGGAATAGTAAATGTTGCACGCAAGCCAAGTGAATGTGCATGTCCGAATCCGAAAACACTGTGATGTAGAAGAAAACAGCATACATAATAATGAAGGTGTGGTCCAAGTAATGGAGATTAATTAGGTGTGGCCTTTTGAACCAACCAAAAATGTTGGGCCCCGCATACTGACAATTATTGAGAAGATATTTTTACCGAACCGAGGCATGACTCGGCGTGTTGCAACCGCAACAGATCCATGTCTAATGTGTTGCTTTCGACCCTTCTTCTGTTCTGTGGATGCTCCTCCTTCATCAGCTTTCTAAAACCGGACATTCATACATGTTTTACATTTGGTTTAGGTGCCCTTTGGATTAATTTATTTTGCCCGTAAAAATTGGTTCAAATGTTACATTAAACTTGTCTCTTTATGTTGCTATCCTTCGTGTTTAATTCACTCATTATTGGATATTTTTCAACTTTTAAAAGAGTAAATTACATTAATAACTCCACAGTTTCATCAGATTTCACGTATCTCTATTTTTTCTTTCTCTTCACATTTACAACATCATTCTTTATAGGAATATACAATGCAATTTATCTACTATAAATTTAATCATATAAAAATAATTATTTATATCAATGTATTGATTCAAATACTAATTGTTCTCACTTGAGATTGGTCTAGGGACGACCTCTCCGATGAAATTGATGAGTCTCCTCAGCTTCACAAGTTGGTCACTCCAAGATGATGGTTGTATATGCAAATGAGACTCCGATGCTTAAGTTAGTTATTGGTTATATGTATGTACCTTGGTGAATTTAGGATTATTTCAACCGATATGCCCTTCTCAATTTGTAGTAATCTTGGGTAGGTCAGACATATACATCGAGATTAGTCATTCATCTTGTGACCGAGGTTGTCCTCCGACTTTGTCAGGGTGGTATACTAATTGTTCCTAATGTAAGTTCACTGTCATCGTTATGATCATCACATCTGAGATATTGTCCGCTTTAATGTTCGTTGAGTCATCATAATTTTAGGTATACCAGAACAAGTCCCCCATTCGATACTAAGGGACAAAAGTGGCCTAGTACTGTAAGTTCACTGTTATCGTTAAGGTCACTGCATTCGAAGTATTGTCCACTTTGATATTTATTGGATCGTCATGATTTTATCTTTTAAATATACTTCAATAAATTAAGAAGAAAAGATATTTATAAACTACTCTTAATTTTTGATAATTTTTACTTCTAAATAATACGAGACTTTTAGAGCCGTAACACTAATAAATAAATATTGTTGTTAATTAACTTTTCACGATATCAGGTTGAAGTTATGAGTCAGATACAAAACCTGAATGTTGTCATTGACAGCCACGTTGAACACACAAGTACAGCTCAAGACTCTTTAAAACCTGCGTCGGTTTTTAAAAAATAACGAAAGGAGAAAAGTGGCCTTCCATTTCTATACGCATTCATCGTAAAAGACTGAGCGATCTAGGGAAATTAATATATGACTAAGATTTGATTATTATAATAATTAATAATTATTTTTTAAAAGTAAAGTACAGTACTGTTGGTGCTGGGAACGTGAACATGTTCGTACTTCGTAGTATAAAAGGAATATTACCATTAAGAAAAAGAATATAACCCATGTATCCAAGAAAAAAAACCCATGTGCTTCTCTTTTTCTTGTTCGCTGTCTGAGGTGACTACCTTTATCAAATGATCATAATAGTTACTTCATAATGCATCACACTTTTTCCTTTTTTATTATCAAAATCCATTTTATTTATCGAAACATCTGAACTTGAGCTCTCGAAATATCATAATGTATATTTATATAATAAGATTTTATTTTCTTTAATATATGTGGAATTAGTTTTTTCTTATCTAAAGTATAGAGGGAGTACAAGTGAAATTCTATTTCATCCAATGTTTTATTGGTAGATCTAGATGCAATTTGAAGATGCAGTTTGTCCCACGTTCTAACATAAATATCATGAAATTATGGGAGCACATTAATGAGCATCATAAAGTAAGTGATAAATTAAAAACTACAGGTAGGTAATTGAGGACTTAGAAGTTAGGACGTGCCAACCGCAAATAACATACGTGATTGAGAGGCTTTGGCAATGGCCAATGATCGATTTAAAGTCAAGCACAACATCAAAGTTGGAATTATGAAGTACGAAATTAAAATGCTTCCCACTCAATGAAATAATTGTCTCATTTATGCGAGAAATTTGGGACTGCAATTTTCTGACCATGTTGGTAAAGTTGTTCAATCCAATGACGGAAGATGCAAGGGTTTGTCATACAGAAAGAAAAGAACGTGTTTGGGAGGATGTTCAAAATTGGGTGGAGTGGTTCAGCTTCAGTGCTTAACCCCCAAATTAAGTTGTTAGCAAGCCATATTACTCTCTCCATCTGGAAAAGAAATCTTGATAACATTTCTTTTACAGATGATGCCAGATAATACATATGAGATCTCTAATGATTACGGCTAAAAAAGTTTTTCTTTAAAAAATATATTTCACTACATTGAATTGATTATTTATTATCATAGATAAAATGTGAAAAAGGGTAAAACCTAAATAGTACAAATAAAGTCGGTGTCAATAACTAATATACATAAATGAAGAATAGGGGACAAAAAAATTAAAGGATAAAAACCTTGTTACATCAGGTCATTCTGTAGGTGCATTATTGGGTGCACAGTAAATGAAATGTTACCAGTAATTAATTTATCTTCAAAGATGTTTAAAAATATATTTTGACCTGATGGGGGTGAAGACAAAAGAAGTTGTTCTTGTGATGTGATTTTGGGTGAATATGGATGCTAAACATTGACTTCAATGTTAAATCAAAATTAAAAACATAGACCTATTGTATTCTTTAAGGCGCACAATTTCATAAATCAAAATTTATTGGTGGGGGGAAAAAGAAATATTTAGTAGTTCCCAGTCATACTCATAAACCTACCTACACACAAACAATCCCCATGTTAATGAAGCAAGGTGTGGTGGAAGGAAAGCGTCAGCATGGGTGCAGTAGGGAGGGTTGGTAAGACTCGGGGGGGAATAAATTGTCCATATTGCCCCCACCAAACCCCGTTGCCACCCACAACACTGAGAATTGAGAATTGAGAATTGAGCTAAAGGAAATCTGATGCTTAAGCTATTTTTTTCTTCCAAATTTAGGTCTTCCCATGTTTCACAAAGCTAATTAAGCTAATTTGGTTTGATATATTTTGTTGCACTTAATTAATTTAATGTAATAGTAAATTAATTAGGATGAGATGGAGTGGTTGGTTGGTAGTAAAGGAAAGCAGGGGGGAACAAGTGGACATAATTAACCTGCAAGTAACTAACAGAGGCTACAAGTGTCCATTCACATAAGGTGGGAACCCTTTTAAAACACCCATTCTGGTGTTCATTCAAACACACTCGCTCGCTCACTCACACATAATCACATTCACATATTCATAATCTCCATCTCCAAGATTAATGGATCCGGTGAGCGTGTGGGGCAACGCGCCCTTGGTGACAGTGGATGCAGAGATCCACGACCTGATCGAGAAGGAGAAGAGGAGGCAGAGCCGGGGGATAGAGCTGATAGCGTCGGAGAATTTCACGTCGTTCGCGGTGATCGAGGCTCTGGGGAGCGCCCTCACGAACAAATACTCGGAAGGGATGCCGGGGAACCGCTACTACGGGGGGAACGAGTTCATCGACCAGATCGAGAACCTCTGCCGCTCACGCGCCCTCCAGGCTTTCCACTTGGATCCCCAATCCTGGGGCGTCAACGTCCAGCCCTACTCCGGCTCCCCGGCCAACTTCGCCGCCTACACCGCCGTCCTCAGCCCCCACGACCGCATCATGGGCCTCGACCTCCCCTCCGGCGGCCACCTCACCCACGGCTACTACACCTCCGGAGGCAAGAAAATCTCCGCCACCTCCATCTACTTCGAGAGCCTCCCCTACAAGGTTAACTCCTCCACCGGCTACATCGACTACGACCGCCTCGAGGAGAAGGCGCTCGACTTCCGCCCTAGGATGATAATCTGCGGCGGCAGCGCCTACCCCCGCGACTGGGACTACAAGCGCTTCCGGGAAATCGCCGACAAGTGCGGGGCCTTGCTTCTCTGCGACATGGCCCACATTAGCGGCCTTGTGGCCGCGCAGGAGGCTAATAATCCCTTTGAGTTCTGCGACATTGTCACCACCACCACGCACAAGAGCCTGCGCGGGCCCCGGGCCGGGATGATCTTTTACCGCAAGGGGCCCAAGCCCCCCAAGAAGGGCCAGCCCGAGAACGCCGCTTACGACTTCGAGGATAAGATTAACTTCGCCGTTTTCCCTTCGCTTCAGGGTGGCCCCCACAACCACCAGATCGGGGCCCTCGCCGTCGCGCTCAAGCAGGCCGCCACCCCCGCCTTCAAGGCCTACGCCAAGCAGGTCAAGGCCAATGCGGTTGCGCTCGGCAAGTACTTGATGGGGAAAGGCTACAGCCTTGTCACCGGTGGAACGGAGAATCATCTTGTGTTGTGGGATCTCAGACCTCTTGGTTTGACTGGTGCGCGATTCGCTTCCTATCTTTCTTCTCATTTGTTGCTCATTTCTACAATCTAACTCCTTCTGTTATTGCTTTGCAGGGAATAAGGTGGAGAAGCTCTGTGATCTCTGTAACATTACCGTCAATAAGAACGCTGTTTTTGGTGATAGCAGCGCCTTGGCCCCCGGAGGAGTTAGGATCGGTAACCAACTTACTTCTCTTTAATGTGCTACCACTATATTCTTATTTATGTTGTTATTGAAATCGAGGTTATGTTATAAAGGTTTCTATTATAAGTGGGTCTATTTAGGGGATGAAATTCTTATTCTGTTCCGAGAATATTATCTAAAACCTCAAGTAGCTTCATTTGAGTTTTGTTCAGTTTTTGATGAATTGGTACAGGGTAAAGGTATCTTGGTGAGTTGTAGATTAGTATTCAAAGAGATTTCATTGAGGATTGCATGTTTGGAAAATCTGATAAGGAATAAGAAATAATTTCTAAGATGTAGAAGCTACCTATTAGTTCGTGTTTGGTTTTACGTTGGATTCTCTGGAATCACTTTCAAATACCAGTTAAACGTGATTTTTGATAGACTTTCACATGTTTGGTTTCACGTCAAAGAATTGATTACAAGTCTAAAATTGATTCTCAGCTGAAACAACTTTAGGTTGCTTTTGCATTGGATTTTTTTTTTTTTTTGTATCAAGTTTTTTACTATTAACTTGTTTCTTTTTTTGATCCAAATTCCAAACATTAAAACGCTTCACTTCTCATAAAGCTTTAAAATCGCATCTGAGATGTGTTTTTTACTTTTTGGTGCTTTAAAAAATGTGTGCCAATTCTGGCTTAAGCTTGCAGACTGGCCTAAACATGTTTTTGCAATAAGATTGCCGAATCAGTTGTAACTAAGTGTTATTTTGTTTGTCATAATATATATTTTTTTTTCCCTGAAGTGGATTATTTTGGTGTGTTGCCAAAATGCTTTTTTCCCCCACTTGTGTATGCATTTTTCTCAGATGTTAGTTAAATTTGTGTCTTTGTTTAGTATGAGTGCCTGCCTGACTGGAGTTTGTGTGACCAGGTACCCCTGCCATGACATCTAGGGGTTTGGTTGAAAAGGACTTTGAGCAGATTGGTGAGTTCCTTCACCGTGCTGTGACTCTCACACTGGAGATCCAGAAGGAGCATGGCAAGCTTCTCAAGGATTTCAACAAGGGTCTCGTCAACAACAAGGCTATTGAAGGTCTCAAAGCTGATGTTGAGAAATTCTCTGCCACGTTTGACATGCCTGGCTTCCTGGTATCTGAAATGAAGTACAAGGATTAGGTTCAAACATATACAACTCTCCACTTAATTGTGTCGCTCCAAGTTCGGCCCAATGTGCAGAAATGGAGAAAAAAGGAAATAAGTATCTTCCTTTCTGGGAGTGATAGGGTTTAACGCGATGCTGTTTCAAGTTTCCTTGTATTTGTTTTCAAGTTTAATTTTGTTAGCTTGATTGATATCATATTTTTTTCTTATCAACAGTCAAAATAATACATGTGCTTTCTTTCTCTTCTTTCCAAGCTAGTATGTTTCATGATTTCATCTACAACAAATATTGCGCAATGGAACATCTTGACAACCATGAGTTTTACTTGATCAAGAAAAGGAAGATTATCGGCTTTTGAGATCTCTCTCTCTTTTTGTTTTATCCTTGTAGGTTGTTTACACTGCGCCCAACTTCTATATGTTGGACATCCAAATAATGTATCCTCTCTCATGTTTCAATGCTCCATCGCCTATCCCCAAATCACCCCCCATGAATTTTAGTTAAGCAAGAAAAAGTAGATTCTTTAATTGATACGATAGAATATCACAATCAACCATACCCATAAATTATAAAGTTATCAGAATCAAGTAACATACGATAGTGAAATTTATTTCGATGATTGATGTTGATTTGGTTTTTGTAACTTGACTCAAATTCTTAATGCAAAGTTTTCACCGTTTAATTGTATATAGAAATCTAGGGACATAGAATAATCCTCTAAAAGATTTTAGCAAGTTAGTGAGCATTTAACTGTCAATTGATGACGTATGAGTCAAAAACTCAATCTTAATTTCTCAATCCGATTAAGATCTTGTAAAACATAGATTAAGAAAGCTTGTAATCTTTTATTTTATCGAGAGGTTTGTTGTCATTGAAACGCATAGTAGTACTCAGAGGAATTTGACTCAACAAGTTAAACCCACCAAAAAGGACACAGACAATTTTTTTTTGGTATTGAGGACACAGACATAGACACACAGTAGTTCCAGTACCAAACATCGCAAACCGTGTATATTCAGCATTTTACATTTTATTTATTTCATCTCGTAGTACTTCACTTTGTTACTACAAAGTCAAAACTTTACATTTACAATATTCTCAACACAAGTTGAAGTATGAACCAATATTCTTGCATCAAAGATGAAGTTTTAAAATGTCATGAAAGAAACTTCATGTCAACAAGTAAGGCTTGAAATATGATTAGAGTAAGAAACTTTCCAAATTTTATAACTAGGAGGATGAACGTGTTATGTTTTATTTCTCATTGGAAGCACACTAAAAGTAGACCATTCAGGTAAAATATATGCTCAAAGAAATCCACTTGTGGGTTTCTTTGTTATCAATCAACGCAAGAGGAGATAACCCCCAAAGAAGCTCAAATTTAGAATACGCTACCAATCAATTAGAAATGCAAATGAGCTAATTGCACCGATTACTTCAATTTCTAGTTAAGATGGCTTTCACAACTATTGGACTCGTGACGTAATGCTTGCCATCTGACCATATCAGTTTTCCAAACACGTAGTTATTTGTAGCCTTTCCTTTCGTGACCTTGAAGGTTAATTTAAAGCTCTTTTCTTCACCAATATTTTTGAACTTCAAGATGCTAGGCTTCAAAGAAACGGTGATTCCATCTGGGCTTTGAACATGACCAATGTACGTTGCTGGAGAACCAACATTTTTCAATGTCCGTCTAACTGTCACTGAACCAGAGAGATTTGGGACTGTGATTGAGGGATAGTTTAAGTTTAGGAGACTAATGTTCTTGCGGCACTGATATGGACCTTCTGTGAACACAGAGATTTGTGTCTCGTTGTAACCTAAAGCACATAAGAAGTTAAGGTAATCATCAATTGTTGTGTCATAAACAAGCCCAGGATCCATTGCTCTGTTTGGTTGAACATGTCCTGCCCCGTAACTGAATGCTGTTGCTTGGCCATCAGTAGCATTCAGTATTGGCTCCAACTCATTATCTAGTGCTGTAGCTGAAAGTAGCAAAGGACAAATTACCAAATTTTACTTCTCATTAATCAAATTTACATGTCTAGATATTATAAAATGCTAAGCTTTATGAACACAATTTTAAAGGTGTTTTCAATACTATTTTTTAATCGAAATTAGAGATTCATTTCAGTAAGGTTTCTTTTAAAGATTAACATAGATTATTAAGATGAAACTCCAATTCTGATTAAAGAATATCACCGAAAATATTTATGGAACTGCATCTAAACTTTTTATTTTAGACTGGCTTGAGAAAAAGGATTTGAAGATTGAGAAACCTTGAAGAACATCTCACCTGTGGTCATGATTGCTGATTTAATAGCAGCAGGACTCCACAAAGGATACAGGGTTCTTAACAGTCCCACAATGCCTGAAACGTGAGGGCATGACATGGATGTGCCTGAGATTGAGTTATAAGGAATCCGGCGCTTGTCGAACACTTGATTGGTTGGTCCTTCGGCTTCAGTAAAGGCCGCTATAACTGACACTCCCGGTGCAGTGACATCAGGCTGAGTATTATGCCAAAGAGTTGTTAGATATCTTTACACATCACAAAAAATTGCAAGGCAAATTTACACTTTGTTGGTAAAGAAGACACCTTAAGGATCTCTGGCACGATAGTATTTGGTCCTTTTGATGAAAACGCTGCCATAACCGGGGCAGGCTTAGTATGCAAATGTGTCTTTGGATGTGTAATATACGCCACTGGGGACCTAGCAATATATAAATTTCAAGTAGTCAAGAACCCGAGATACATGATTGATTATCCTTTTGTGGTCTTCATATAAAAAAATAGCAAATCACAAAAAACTAGAATCATTTTCCTATGCTTACTTGACCGTACATTGCAAGTTTAAGCAATACATGCATTCTGATTAAAGCACGGTATAGTTATTGCTAAGTGGAAGACTAGAATGGTAGATATCTTACTTGGTTGAGTTGATGTAATGATAGACAGCAAGACCATCAGTGAAATTGATATGAGAAGCAGGAAGAACATGAGGATCAGCTAAAATTTCATTCCCACTATTCTTGTCATTAGCAAGGACCATTCCCACAGCACCAGCTAGGAGAGCTTGCTCTCCCTTGTCCACTCTTGCATTTATCCCTCGGAGACATACCACAATCTTCCCCTTCACCTTGTTGGGATCCAGCGTTCCATTCTGACACAGCACCCTGCATATATATGCTCATAAACTTCATTCACCATATATATCCAGCACTACGCTAATCATATAAAACATAAACCAGTTCCAACCTTTTGATACTTACGCATCTTCAACTCTCGCACTCTTCAATTTAGCATCCGTAGCTTTAATAATGGGGTAGAACTTGTGAGGCAATCTTGTAGGGGATAAGCTCTCGCCCTTGAGAGCAACGTTGTTACCAAGGAAGACATACGCAGGGAACTCTCTATCCATGGTGCTGGCAGCTACAGTGATATACCAAGGTGCGAGATTTTCCGCAGTGGCATCAGCAGGGCCATTGTTACCCGCAGAGCAAACGACGAGGATGCCATGCATGGCTGCATGGAAGGATCCGATGGCAACGCCGTCGTTGAAAAGAGAAGAGGCGGAGCCGCCGAGGGAGAGGGACAAGACATGGACGCCGTCGTGGATGGCCATGTCAAAGGCGGCCAAGATGTCGGCGTCGAAGCACTCGTCGCCGGAGACGGGGGGCCAGCAGACCTTGTAGGCAGCGACGCGGGCCTTGGGGGAGCCACCTTTGGCTGTTCCGAGGCCTTGGCCGAAGACGCTGACGCCATGCACCATGTTGCCGGCGGCGGTGGAGAGGGTGTGGGAGCCATGGCCCTCCGTGTCACGTGGAGAGTCGAAGGAGGAGTTGAGTGGGCCCGCCACGGAGGCGTAACCATTGTTGAAGTACCTTGCTCCTATCAGCTTCCTGCATTCGTGGACAACAAATAAGGAAAACAAAAATTCTAGCAGACAACAATTTATTTTCGGACAATAACAATTGTCTCTTGAGTTACTAATCTAATGTGGAAAAAATAATCGAATTATCACATTATAAGATTATAATAATAAAAATACACTACATATAATATTATTTGTAAGCTTTATCCTTTATTTTCTATTTTTAATATTATTTTTATTGTTTAAAATTATTAATTATAATAATCTTGTCATTAAATCAAAAGAGATTCATCAAATTTAATTTGCTTGCAATTATAAAAACAATAATTTTAAAAATAATTAGAAAGTTAAAAGTGAATAAAAATTATTTCTTAAAAATAATTATTTAGAAAAATTTAAACCTAGATAAAACTAATAAAATGTTTATAAGGTGATGAGTTTTCTCAATAAAAAAAATATATTTTTTTAAAAAAATAATTTAAGCAAACACATAAAAATTTCTTATTTTACTGAAAATATGATTTAAAAAATATGCTTAATTACCCTTTTAATCTTTTATAATATTAAATTCATAATTTTGATATTTCTATTAAAGTTGAAATATTGGTCCTGACCTATTATTGAATAGATGATACAATGATTAATATTTAACAATATTTAGACTAATTTACACTTTTAATTATTATTTTAATAATGTTTTTATAATATTTTACCATTTTTATGAGATAAAAATAAAAATTATTAGTAAAATTTAATGTAATATTATTAAATATTAATTGTGATGTCATTTATTTAATATTAAATCATGACTAATATAACAATTTTAAAAAAAAAAAGGATGAACATTCAACAAGATATATGATTAAAATTATAGTCTTGTAAAATTGAGATATTAAAATTACATAATTAAAATTAAAAGGACCAAAACTAAAAATTTGATATTATAAGAAAATTAAAAGTATAATTAAGAAAAAAACTAAAGAAACAACCTGAAAGATTTAAAAGTTAAAAACAATATGTTTTAATAATTTTTAACTAGCAATAAACAAATAAAAAAGAATTAATGAGAGTGTGAAAACATTTCTCAAAAATGCTAAATTGGAGGAAAGATTGTTGTATCATGTATGCGTGGATCAACAGATTATTCAATTCAATCACAAATTAATTTATTTTTTTTGGAAAAAAATAATATTGAACAACGGTTGAGCAATAAAACAAATATTACGTTTTGCACGTAGGTATTAATCTTTGAAACATTACGACGTGCATAATAAAATAAATATATAAGTAATAGATGTAAGCTTTTGCAGATTCAATCATGGATTTAAGCTGATGGAACCATTTAACTAAACTGAAAGAGCTTCACCCGACAGGACCAAGTCAGATTCATTATTAAAAGAGTAATACGTAAAAGTGACAGAAATTGATATTGCGGATATAACTGTCACTAATACCTAACCGTGTAATTAAAAATAACTCTTCAATAAAAATGTGTAGAAGTGAGAGAAATGATATTAAAAAACCCAATGGGCCACACTATATCGGAAAAAATTCAAGTCCTGTCAATCTTAGATCATTAAAAGGGTCACTTATTATTTATCTACATACCAAGTTCAATAGTGCTAGACGTGAGGGGGTGTATTGGAAAAAACCCAAGTCCCACATCGACTAGAGATTAGGCAATTGAATAGTATATAAGTGGAAAGTAACCCTCATCTTATAAGTCTGTTTTGTAGAGTTGAGTTAGGCTTAATCTACTATTCTAACATAGTATCAGAACAATTTAGATTCACTTTAAAAATAGGCCACCCACCATTGTATTGAGAAAAATCCAAGTCTCGTCAATCCTAGATCATTAAAAAGGGTCACCCACTATTTATCAACGTACCAACGTGAGGGGGTGTATTGAGAAAAATCTCAAGTCCCACATCGACTAGAGATTAGGCAATTGAATAGTATATAAGTGGAAAGCAACTCTCACCTTACAAGCCGATTTTGTAAGGTTGAGTTAGACTTAAATCCACTATTCTAAGATGTAATCCATTATTCTAAGATGGTATCAGAGCCATTTAGATCCATTTTAAATGGGCCACCCACCATTGTATTGGAAAAAATCCAAGTCTCGCCAATCCTAGATCATTAAAAAGGGTACCATTTATCCACGTACCAAGCCTAATAGTGAATAGTATATAAGTGGAAAGCAACCCTCACCTTACAAGTCGATTTTGTAGGGTTGAGTTAGGCTAATTTCACTATTCTAACAGATATAACTGTCACTAATATGTAACCGTGTAATTAAAAATAACTCTTCAATAAAAATGTGTAAAACCGAGAGAAATGATATTAAAAAAATAGACTCAAAATAAAAATATTTATTAAATTTATGTGTTATTTCCTTTATTTATTATTAATAATAAGAAGGTATTTCGTATTTTTGTAAAAAATGTTTTAGGTATCATGGTTTTACTAGGAGTATCTATCAACCTTGCTATAACATTATATGCAGGTAAGATGGGTAAATTGTGAGAGTCTATGACAGGTAAGCTAAATTTAAAATTTGAAGAGCAAAATAATTTTTTTTAATATTTTAGAATTAAAAGTAAAAATTTTAAATTTAAAGAACCAAAAATATATATACTCCATATTGGCTAAAACCCTATTTTGGTCCCTTATAATATTTTTTTGTTTCAATGTAGTTCCACTTTTATTTTTGGTCTCAATTTGTTCTCAAACTAATTAACTGGTTTTAATTTAGTCCCAAATTAATTAATTGGTTTCAATGTGGGACTTCCGTCCAAATTATTTAAACGGAGTTAACTTTTGGTCACGTGGATGTTATGTAGATGCATACATGGATGCCACGTGGATGACAATTTTTTGCTAAAAACCTATTTTGGTCCCTTATAATAATTGTTTGTTTCAATTTAGTCCCAATTTTATTTTTGGTTTCCATTTGGTCCCAAATAATTAATTGGTTTCAATTTGGTCCCAAATATATTAATTGGTTTCAATTTGGGACTTCCGTCCAAATTATTTAAACGGAGTTAACTTTTGGCCACGTGGAGCAGTTTTGATCCCTCAAGTATTACAATTGTGCAGTTTTGATCCCAAAATTTTAATTGAGTAATTTTAGTCCTTAAAGAATTATAATTGCGCGATTTTGGTCCTTTAATTTTTAATTGAACAATTTTAGTCCCTCAAATATCATAATAGTACGATTTTAGTTTATCCCATTAAAAATTAATAATTTTAATATATATATATATATATATATATATAATGCTTTAAAATTAAACAATTATTTATCTATTCAAATTAACGTATATTATAATTTTCGATATTATATCAATAATATTATTAATATATTTATAGATAAACTAATAATTTGATTAATATAACTTGTTATATATTAGTATACTTTTACAAAAATATAAGTATATTAATTAGAAATATATATGTCATCTTATATATTTATATTTTTATAAAGTATATTAATATATATTATAAAATATTATGATATTAATTTATGATATTATTGATATTATTTGGGACCAAATTGAAACCAATTAATTATTTGGGACCAAATTGAAACCAATTAATAATTTGGGACCAAATTGAAATCAAAAATAAAATTGGGACTAAATTGAAACAAACAATTATTATAAGGGACCAAAATAGGTTTTTAGCCAAAAATTATCATCCACGTGGCATCCACGTATGCATCTATGTGGCATCCACGTGGCCAAAAGTTAACTCCGTTTAAATAATTTGGACAGAAGTCCCACATTGAAACCAATTAATTAATTTGGGACTAAATTGAAACACATTAATTAGTTAGGGACCAAATTGAGACAAAAAATAAAAGTGGGACTACATTGAAACAAAAAAATATTATAAGGGACCAAAATAAATTTTTAGCCCTCCATATTTAAAGAATCAAATACATAATTAAACATAATTTTTATGACGCAAGAAATTATCATAATTAGTTATAGAACTAGCATTAAACATATTTTAAAAAAATAGTCTTTTTTTATAAAAAAATTTAACAAGGTCATAGCTTTCTACTTAATACTGAGACAGGAACCCAAATGAAGCCTTTTAAAATATATATATAAAAAAAAAAAACTTAGATATAAAATGATAAGAATATAATGGATTCCTATTATTGTATTCTAATCTACCCATCCCCTCAACTCTTCAATTTTGGTCCGCTTGATTTTCCAAAACTAAAATAAAAGTATATTTAGCATTGAATAATAATTAAATATTTCTTAAATGATAAAAATATTAATATATATAAATATATATATATAGGATAAACTTAAAAGATTTTTCTTATAGAATATTTTAATATTTCTTTAGTTAATGAAAATAAAATGACATGGTCAACGTTCAAAGATCGAGCCACATGCCCAGTGAATTGAACGAAATCCTCTCCAAGTTTCATTGTATTGTAATTGGTGCAAAAGTAATATAAAACAATTAATAAAAGGTAACGAAAAACAGAGGTCTAAAAATGCTGCTTTCAAAGGAATGTACGTAACCCTTTCATTGCAGTCACCTAATAAAGAGCACTAATTTAAGATGGGTACGTGCCCTTAAGCAAAGGGTGTCGGAAATCAAATAATTACCTAAGAAAAAATTACTATCCATAATAAATTAAAGGACTAAGAAAATTAAATACTCTACTACAGTACTTTATTTAGATTCTTTATTAGTATTCCAACTCCCAAGATTCAACGAACTCTTCCAACGTGCGGTGCAAATTAGTTAAGAAAATTAAATACTCTACTACTTTATTTGGATTCTTTATTAGTATTTTCAACTCTCAAGCTTCAACGATTATAATAATAATAAAATATTGTACCTGTTGCAGTGAAAAGTATGATCAGTTCCGTTATCACAGATTCCTCTCCACTTAGATGGAATTGGTCCCAAGCCTTGGTCACTAAAGCTTTCTGATTCAGGCCAAACACCTAGAGAAAATGGCTTGGTGGTCAAAACTCAAAACAAAACAAGATAAGCATATTGCAGATGGAGACTCTACTTCTATTCTACCCTTCTCATTCTCATTCAATTTGCCTTAAGGTTACCATCATGGTCCTATCTTGGTTCTCATTGCCCCCACCACTTTTCACGCCTGCACTTAGGGAACATTGACATTTTGAACATCAATATGATAACATGCACATAACAATTTTCTTATTGGTCACCTTATCATGACATTTTTGGACTATTCTCACCTTAGCCCCACCCCAATGAACACACCTTTTTATTTAACACAAGTCATAATCTACCATCAAAATATGACTTATGACCAACCTCATGCATCACGGTAAGACAAACACTAATTTTATCACCTATGTTCCTATTTATGACTCGTAAAATTATTTAAAATAATGGACATGTCAATATGTCATAATACACAAACTAAGAGTTGTAACAAAAGTCTGATATAACAAACAAATGTTTGCCCATATTGTCTTTTAAAGGTGGTCCGTTTCTCATAAAACAACTGAAAGTCGGCTGCTCCATCATTTATCACCAAACTTTATTCGATTCTTTGTAATCAAAAAACAATAAAGTTCTGCAATTTCATTACACTGACCTTTTCATATTAGTTTTAGACAAATATTGCCTAATTAGTAATTAGTTCGAAATGGATTTTGTAAAATCTGCACCAAGGTTCTATTCTGTTAATCCACACATTATATGTATTTTTTTAATCAATGCTTATTTTACCAAATTCGCGAGTTCAATTCATATGTAAATATCAGCCTACTTTTGAAAGATCGTGCATGAATATTCATAGGATGAGCATAAAAAGAGAAATGATATATGAATATTCACATACACTTAATTGATATTGTTCATTTTTCTACTTGCTTCTCTCTCGATGTAATTGTCCCATGAGTGTTCAGAAATCATTTTGTTATTGAAAAAACCTGGTCTACACAACCCATTTACGACAAGATTCAAATTAATAATATACTAATGTTATGAAATCAACTTTTTTTTTTGGGATAAAACTCTAGAAACAGATTGGTTGGTGGGGAATAGAGAACTCAGCATCTTCCACATGTGTATTAGTCAACGATGCAGACTAAAACATGATAATAATAAAAGAATAACAAGAGTTTTTAACACACAAATCAGGAAACTCACCAGTATCTAGATTTCCTATTATCACATCTTCACCAAACCTGGCTTTCTTCCAGATTGAGGAAGATGGAATGACCCCATTATGCTCTAGCTTCATGAATTCCCATGAACGAGTGGTGTGTAGCTTTCTCCCACTGTTCACAAACACTGACAACACCTTGGGATGCTCTACAAACAGTTTGAACAAAAGGGTAATGAGAGAAGGGAAGAACAGAGGAAGTAGCAGAAGATAAGGTTCTTACTTGCTATCTCAGAAGCCACTTCTTCTTCCAAAGTTGCAGCAAAACCATTGATATGCCTTGTGTATGAGTAAAATATGGAATCTTTGGCTGTATTAGAACTAGAGGGAAGAAAACACAAGCATTTCAGTATGACATAAAAAATAAAAAAGATGTTATAAATTAAATATACTAATTGAACTTAGGCATACCTTCCTAAGAAAGATCCCAGAAACTCATAATGAGATTGTGTCACTTGATTGAATTCAAGTGAAGAGAAATCTGGGCCATGTGAGTGGGCTCCCAAGTACACCACATATGACTACAAACACAATAAAATGGTGCAAGGGTTAAATTCAACACCAAAATGATTGGATATTTTTCAAGATTGTGCAAATTGCAATGCCTAACCTTTTTGAGTGCAGAGCTGGGTGTGTGCAGTAGACAGGTAAGAAGGATTTGGAGAAGAAAGTGGATGGTTGGACTTGGTGGCCTCATTGATTTTTGCCTTCAATGGAACAGAAACACAACCTTTGGTTTTATAGGATAACATAACATTCCTCGTTATTGTAAAACTTCAAGCCAAGCCTTGCTAATGTGACAGCTAATAATTGCCAAATATAATATTGCCATGGTGGCTTTATTATAAATAGAAAAACAATAATATGATACCCTATTTAGTCGAGAATACCGTATTTAATATCTGTCGTATGCAAAAATTGTTGGACTCTGTTATTTTTTAATTAGAAAGGGAAAGATCAAAGGTGTATTTTAGCCTTAATAGTTGATGATCCCATTGGGATTCGTCAATGTTAACATCAATTGTTATTCAGAAACGTCCTCGAGTTTAATGTGATTAGCAATTTAACTAACCAAGACAAATGAAAGCAATATTGTTTCGTTTCGTTTCATTCCTAGCCGAATTGGGCTTAAGCCATTCTGCTTCATTTTTCTCACATTATTCACTAGCCTCATGCACTTCCCAATATTAATCATACACTTTTATTATATTTTTTTCAAATACTTTTTCAGTTTTCAATTTTTTTGACTTTATTAATCTCCTTGTTTTTAATGTTCAATTATTTTTGTTATTTTTAATTATTTACTTCCCCCTTTCACATGCATCACCTCTTTTTCCTCCTTTGTATCCATCGTTCAATTTATTCGCTCTCTTTCACACACATCTCTTTTATGTCTCTTAACTTTAATGATGCTAAGGTGACTTATTTTAACAGCAAATGGTATTTAAAAAAGGATTAAAAATAGATATTATATAAATTTGAAGGATTAAAATTAAAGAATTTTTTTTTTAGAGACTAAAATCAAATAGAATCCAATTTTTTAGGACTAAACATTTTTAACCTAATATAAAATAAAGAGAAAAATAAGAAAGTAACAGTTACTCGTTTTATAAATAAATAAAAAAAAATGCTGATTTTACGCTTATTTATGATTATTTTGTTTAAAACTTTTGTGATATTTTTTTTAATGTTATTCTTTAACAAACAAATAACAAATAATAAAATATAAAAAAATTCAAAATAAAATATGTACACTAAAACGAGAACCCCTTTATATATATATATTTATTTATTTATATTATACATCTAATTATTAGGATATGTTCTCTGATTTGTGGCTTCATTCACTTGGTTCTTTTCCTACGTTTCTTTTGTTGTTGTGTTTTTTTACTTATTATGGGCATGAATGGAAGAAGCTGGGCCTGGTGTTTTTTTTCTATGTTGTTATCCCCTCCCTCATATTTTGGACTTAGTCTAGTCTATTAACTAGGACATTTTCATTTTGTTTTGTTCTAAGCACTGGGCCTTGATCCCTCCACTTACACAAAAATACAAAGTCAGCCCAAGCTAATGCTAGTAATATGTTACATTGTAATAATTTGTTGATTCAATTACACAATATATAACAATTATTTTAATTGGGTATTTTATAAGATTAATGTTTATTTTTCATATAATTAAATTTATAATAAAATATTTGAGAGTATAAAAGTTATATAATTAAATTTCACAATAAATAAACATAGGCTTACAATATATTTTTAGTTTCCAAAATTTAAGGTAAAATTATTTTTGATCCCTTAAATTTAAAATTATTATTTTTAATATCTATAATTTTCAAAAATCTTGTTTTAGTCCCTCGGGTTATCAATAACATTTGAAAGTAATAGATTGAGACAGTTAATGTGATATTTTCACTGACATGGACATCAATAAATAAGCTTTATGTAATAGTATTATATTTTACATATTTTGTAACAAAATTTAAATATAAGAATTAAAATAAGATTTTTGAAATTACAGGAACTAAAAAGACCAATTTTAAATATGAGAAACTAAAAATAAATTTAGCTTTAATTTGAGAGATTGTCATAAATATATTTGAATATATTAAATTATATTTTATATTTACAAATAATAATTTAAATATTTATGTAAAGTTATCTTAAATTGATATTTCAAAAAATAAAATTAAATCTAGAAATTAAGATAAAAAAAATTGAGAGGTAAACAATTAAGAATATGAAATATATAAATAAAAAATTAAAAAGAAGATAGTTTGAGATGAAATTGATATTTTTAAAAATGAAAATATTAAAGATAAAAGTTCATTTATAATTATTTCAATGTACTTTCTATCTTGTTATCATGGAAATCTCATGTTTTAAATAGTATTTAGTATTTAACAAATTGATAATTTTTATATTTTTTCAAAAATAAATTAAAAAAATAAAGGTTTGAGGAGCACTCGAGTACCCTAACTAGTGGATGTTCATTACATCGTTTTATATCAAAAGTATTTTTTTAATATCTAAATTACCTATTTGACACAAGGAAAGAAAAGAGAAAAACATAAGTGTGATAAGTAATATGATTGTGATGGGTAGAAAGAGAGTGATTGAGATCTCATATAGATATATGTTGAAAGGGAATTGAGATCCTCTCTATTTCCTTTTCTTTCAATTTCTTTCATTACTAAAATTTTAAAAGTACACATGTAAGTCATCCTAAAATATGCACCAACTTCATCAATTCTATTTTATTGATTTTTTAAAAAAATATAGGAAATGAAAGAAATGTTGAGAAAAGGAATAAAGATGATCCATTTTCATTGAAAGGAATGGAGGCAATTGCCCTCACATATTTTTTCTTTATTTATATATATTTAATAAAATGAGGGTTCAAACGACATCGGTGTAATTTTTACTAAGTATTACACCGTTCAATGAAATTATATTAAATATAAATTTTGTAAATCCAACCGTTGAATTATAACTTCATTCACTTTACATGTTTATATCTAATTTTGTTAAAATTGAACAACAACTTGAAGGTAATCAAAATATTCATATTTTATTATATTTTGAAATGTATATATTACGTCAATTTTATTTTATAAGAATGAATTATTAAATCATCTTGGATTAATATAAAATTTTTTATATATATGATTTAAGAGTGAAGAACTTTCAATCTAACTGTTAGATTTATAAAATTCACATTTAATATAAAATTATTGGACGATGTAATACTTAGTAAAAGTTATACCAGTATCATTTGAAGCCTCCTTATTTAATAAAAAAAAAGTATATTCCCCACAAAAATAAGTATTGCCCTTTAAAATGTTTTTATAATGAATATAGAAAATTACGAGATAAAAAAAAAATGAAAGTAAATGAATACTAATTTTATCACTTTTATCATTCTAACTTTTACCGTCTAGTTTTTAAAATGTTAAACAAGTCACACAAAATCACAAATATAAATCTTAGTACAATTTTAATTAAAGAAAAAAAGAAGAAGGATAAATTGTCGTTCTACCCATTAAAACAACTGTAATATATAAAACATTAGGTATTTTGATTTTATTATTTGGTAAAAGCTTATTATATTTTTTATGAAAATATTTTAGGCTATTTTATTGCTCTCATTAAAGAAATTTTCTGGATCCATGACTAACTGAGATGAATAATAAGTGTTAATAAGATATATAAATGGGAGTGTCCAAATTAATATTAGTACTTGTTTAATAAATGTGAAAATGGAAACCTCGTTGAATGGTGAAAGCTTTAAGGTCAAAAGTTTGAGAACGTTGCACCGAATGAAAGGCAAGAATGCATATTGTGGTTTGGAATATATATTAATATTAGTTATATGGATATGTCTATGAAGTGGACTACGTAGTTGTGAGGAGAACCATATGTCTTTTTCTCTGTCTTAATCTCAAATGTAGTAAATAAAGTCAATTCTCAATTTATCATGGCTCCACCCAGCAACGACCATCTTTATTCTTCACTAGCTTTTGACAAACGCAATTCCAATAATGGTTATTTGCAAAATTAGAAAGTAACCTACCCGACCCCACAATTGTACTTATTGGTTAACATAACGTAACGTGCCATTTTATGTTTTACTTGTGCATGACGACTATATAATAATCACCTTAGCCTTAGTTCAAGTTCAACTCACACACGTATTGTTTTCATCCATATCTTGTTGCATGCTGCAAGGTGTCGTTCATTATGATTTTGAGGACTAGGTCTAATGTTTTTATTTCCATTTGGGGAGTTTGTGTCTTGTTAATTTGTTGAGAAAGAAGAAAGAGGACGAAAAGGAATTGTCTTCTCTACAATTTTTTAGTGCTCCAGTTCTCAACTTGCACATACAATTCTATCTTAGCTTGACTTGCATAAACTTTACCCCACTAATTGCGGATCAAATTGCCACGGGATCGATTTGGATGACTAATTAAAAAACAAAATGCATTCCCCTTTTCTTGATTTTTCGGCTTTAATTTAATCAAGGGTCTTAGAATCTTTTCTCTAAGAATCAAAGAAGTTTGAAACTGATATTAATATTTTATATATATATATAAGTAAGTTGAATTAAATTTATTCAACTCAATAATTCATATTCTATATTAAATTTTAATGGTTCAACCATTAAATTAAAAGTTCTTAGTGTATAGATCAAGTTTGTGAATTTTTTTAAAAAAATTAAAACTATTTTATATTCAGTTTTATTAATCATGAAAGTATTTTATATGTTAATTGAAATTAACAAAACAAAATCAAACAACTCTCAATTTTTTAACAAATTTACATATCTGATCTATGTATTAAGAATTTTTAATTCAATGGTTGCATCGTTAAAATTTGATGCAAAACATAGATTATTGAGTGAAATAAATGTAGGTGAATTTACTTTTTGAATAAGTATATATATATATATATATATAGATAAATAGTGTAATACAAGCACTTTAATTGATTAAAAGATATATGAGTATAAATTAAAAAATAGAAATAGTATAAAGGTAGCTTTAGAATATATATATATATATATATATGTGTGTGTGTGTGTGTGTGTGTGTGTGTGTGTGTGTGTGTAGCATGCTGAAAAGGTACAACAACGACATGCTTTAACTCTCTCGGCTACCACGACTGTTGAGGTGATCAAATAATGACAACCATTAATCAATTTAACAAATGTTTTGCTACTCAGTGTGTCTTACATGTACATTAGTCTCGATGTCCTCTACAACCAAATTAGTCAAAATAG